AAGGCCACAATTGGCCAGTTTTGCCAAGAGGTGATCATGGGATACCAGATCGAAGGCTTTTTTGAAGTCAAGATATATGACATCAATCTCTTCTCCATTGTCCAGGTGATAGGTCACCTGGTCATAAAAGGAAATGAGATCGGTCAAGCAAGACCTACCTGCAACAAACCCGTGCTGGCTATCCCTCAGGATGTTGGCATCGGTCAATCCATTAAGGATGGCCTCTTTAATAAACTTTTCTAAGACCTTCCCCAAGATAGAGGTCAGGCTGACAGGCCTATAGTTAGCTGGATCCACTTTCCTCCCTTTCTTGAAGATTGGCACCACATTGGCCTTCTTCCAGTCTTTGCGCACTTCCCCACAGCTCCAGGAGTTCTTGAAGATCCGTGCCAGGGGCTGGGCTATGATGCTCGCCAGCTCCTTGAGTACCCTGGGGTGTAGATTGTCAGGGCCAGCTGACTTGAAGGTATCCAGCCTCTCAAGGTGTTCCTTCACAAGGTCAGCATTAATGGAGGGTCTCCCTCACCTGGACCTGCCTGTCCTGTGGTGGGCATGCACCAGATTCGGCCTGCCCTAGAGCCACCCCAATGCCTGCCAGTGGAGGAGAAGATTGAGCCCATTGTGCCCATTCACCATGCCCATACATGTTAGGCAAGCTCAGGTAGCTGTTTACTGCTGGCAAGAAGACAGCCTCCTTGGAACTGTGTGCCAGGAGCAGGGCTGCTCAGGTGCAGAGCCGTGCTCTCCTGCTTGCAGAGGACATCAGGTACTGGAATTCCTTGCCCTGCCAGAGCTTTGGATTGGATCCCAGACTGTGGCTGCCAACAGTACCAGAGACAAGGGCAGACAGTAGGCTTTAAGCACCCAAGCATTGTTCCATGCCCTTTCCCTAGCTGCCTGCCTCCTGCTGCTCTGCACTGAGCTGGTGCTGCCCACAGACACGTGCCAGGGTCAGGGTTAAGGCATGGGCCCCAGGTATCCACCCCGCAGGCATCCACATCCCATAATTTCACTGGGTCTGTGATTTGCCAGCAGGGGAGACCCAAGCTAAACCCATCCACAGAACAGTCAGCAGCAGGGACAAGCCCCAGCCTCAGCACAGCCTGGCATGTGACAGCCTGAGACCAGCTAACCCCCCTCCAAGAACTGCACACATCATAGCCCTGCCTGATGCCCTTGCCCCCTCCACCCACCAGCCATGCCCTCCACACAGTGCCCTCTGCAAGTCACAGACAGCTGACTCCGGCACCCATGACTGATACCCCCAAATGGCTTTAACCTCTTCACTGCTGAGGACCCCCATGTGCCCCATCACAGCCACTCCCTTGGGCAGATGGTAGAGGGGTCCCTCCGCCTACTGACCACATGACATTGCTCCGTTATCCATAGGAAGGGCCGTTTTTCACATCCCCAGCCCCCAACCCCAGGGGCAGCTCCCAGGCCCCACCTCAGCCCAACAACCTGAGAGCTCCTTTCTGCATGCTCCTGTCCATGCAGGGCAGCCGGGGCACTAACCAGCTCCTGCTGCCTTCCACAAGGTCCCGTCCTTCTGGTCGAGAGATGCAGCTAAATTCCAAAGCGGAGGCGATAGTTGGGATCGGCCTCTCTGGGATCAGAAGCGTTATGCCAGTCTCTCGAGTGAAGCACCAGACAGAATGAGACACTCCTGCCTGGGGTGCCCAGCGCTTGAGAAGGGCCAGACCGGAACAGGGGAGCACTGAACCGAGTAACCCAGCTGGGCTTGGCCTCCCTCCCCCGCCCCAGTCACATGAATTTCTTAGCAAATAAAGGGAGCAAAAGAAAAACGTCTCTCCCTGCAGATTCCTCAGCGGGTTCTGGACAGCACAAGCCTTTGTGTGGCTGAAATGCCAGGCTGGTGTCCGGAGCCCCCTCTCCAGCCAGTCCCTGCCCATGCCGTCAGCACATTCACACATGCCATGCAGCAGCAAATGCTGGGGACATTATGGCAGCCAGTGGGCAGGTCTGGGCTCCGTGGGGGAGGGGAGCTAATCCTATCTGCTCTAACCTGCTAGCCCAGAGAAGCCAAAAATGCTACAAGGGCATGCTCTGGAATGGATCATAAGTCTTGCTTCACTTCAAACAAAAACCCCACCACTGGAAAGCACTGCCAGGATCAGCACAGACTGGCAGAGAACAGGCTTTGCAGAGTAGATCCCCATCATCTCCATGGCAGGGCAGTGCCA